CGGCAATGGCGACGAACAGGAAGAATATCCACGTATCCATGAGCCTGCCGCTCGAGAGGAAGCCGCCGCCGCTGCTACTGGCTGGAGAGGCTCGCCTGGCCATCACGCACCGAGACGCATAGCTGATCTTGACACTTGGGGGTATAACTCTCCGGCTACCTCCCGTTGCCCCTCCACCTCCCCCTCCTCCTCCTCCTCCTCCTCCTCCTCTTCTCGCTTCTGCTCCCGCTGCTTTTGCTCCTGGCTCTTTGCTGCGAAGGACGAACGCGCACCCACCGCGCGATTTGCGCCGCGCGCGCGAACCACTGCGAAATTTCGCGAATTGTCTCTCTCTCTCTCTCTCTCTCTCTCCTCTCTCCTCTCTCTCTCTCCCTCTCTCTCTCTCTCTCTCTCTCGCCACCCGCACTGGCGTGTCGTCCGGTCGTCCACCAGGTCGTGTCCTGCCTTGGCGAGACTGAACCGCTCCTTCACATGGTACTCGCGGCGAACGTTCACACGAGGAGAGACCGCGAGGAGAGAGAGCGAGCGAGCGAGCGAGCGAGCGAGCGAGCGAGCGCGCCAAGGAGACACGAGACGTGGACACGAGCACCGACGGCGACGACTATGAGACGACTACGTCGACGACGACGACAACGACGTCGGCGACGCTCAACGGTCGCGCGCGCTCCCGACGCGCGCGCCTACGCGTGCGTGATATGCACTGTTACGCACTCTCTCGGACTCCGTCCCGCGTGTGTGTGCACACATCAAATGTATACGTACGTGCGTACCGCGATGCGTCGTCCGTCCAGCGCTCTCTGCGTGTCTCTCGCGTGTCGCGTGTGCACGAGCGACGGCGGCGGCGGCGACGACGACGACGACGACGACGACGACGACGAGGACAACGTCCTATGTGCGGTGCTTATTACCGGCGACAGTTACAGCCGACGATGTGTGTGCGCACCGTGAGCACCGAAAATGGAGGCGACGACGCGTACCTCGTGAAGTTGCACCGGACGAGTCGTGCGCGGAGCACGACGGGATTGTGCGCGCGCGACAGGCGGAGAGAAAGAGACAGAGAGAGAAAGAGAGAGAGAGAGAGAGAGAGAGAGAAAGAAAGAGAAAGAGAGAGAGTGAGGAGGAGAGAGAGAGAGAGAGAGAGAGAGAGAGAGAGAAAGAAAGAAAAAGAGAAGAACGAGAGACTAGAGAGAACGAAGCAAAGGAGCAAGAAACGTCTCTCCTACTCAACGTGGAGCACGAGCGGCGTGTGTTACGGCCGACCGTCGTCGTGCTCTCACCGCCGCGTTGCCCGGAGTATTGACCGACTCGGCTCGGTTCGGCATGGCGCGGCATCGTCGAGGAAGGGATGGATACGTACCGCGGCGTTCGGAGGGACGGCGGCCATGCTCTGTGCCAACTGCCTTACAATAGGTCTTACCGGCTGCGCGCGCAGCTTCGAGTCTCGTACTACTCCGGCTGGAGCCAGCTAGCTAGCCAGCCAGCCAGCCAGCCAGCCAGCTGGCCGGCGCGACTCGACGACGCACGATGCCGAGAGAAAGAGAGAGAGAGAGAGAGAGAGAGATCGAGATCTATGTGTGAGGTACATGCGAGTCGCGCGAATTAAAATCGAAGCGGACCCGAGGACGTTGCACAATGTCGCATTGAGCCGCTGACAGTTCGAATTGCCGCCACCGCCGCCGCCGCCGTCGCCGTCGTCGTCATCGATATATCGATGTGTCTCGTATCGACGCGCGTGTTAATGGAGGATATCGATAGCGCGCGCCCGGTAGCGTGCGAACGTAGCGGTGCCCTGCAAGGTGTCGGTCTTGTGAGGGTGCGGCATATATACGTACGTTTAATTGATAGCTCGCTGTGAAATGATAATAATAATGCACATGTGATCGCGCGATGGGAGAGTAATCGGCGCGGGGCGATTCCGCGCGTACCGAGCGGAAAATATGGACACCGGAGTATTCGGAGTATTCGGACGACTGAAGGCATCGATATCGTGATATATACGAAAGCTCCGCGTCCGCGGGAATTTATCTTCACGGCCCTTTCGCTGTGCGCCATAAATCCGCGAAAACGCGGGATAGAATCCGCACATCTTCATGAAACCTCGTCCATTTACGTGCACTTTATGTCTGCGTAAATCTCTCTCTCTCTCTCTCTCTCTCTCTCTCTCTCTCTCTCTCTCTCTCTCTCTCTCTCTCCCCTCTTTCTTCTGCGTTTAACATTAAATAACACGGAAGAAGGAGGGAAAGGTCTTTTCACGAGTGTGTTGCTTCCTCTCTCTTTTTTTCCGGATATATCGTTTAATCAGACAACACGAACATGAAAAGGGGGATTCGCATCGGCGAAATAAAATTATATACGATCCGAGAGAGAGAGAGAGAGAGAGAGAGAAAGGGGGGGGGCTTCGCGCATCTCTCGCGTTTCTCAACGTCACATCGCGAGAATAATGCGAGATTACAAACGCTGCTCCATAATCGGCTCTGATATCCTCCTCTCTTCCTCGCTCATGCCGTGATTATTAATGAAAACGCATAAAACGCGCTCGTTAAGAAAGCCGGAGTGAGGTATGGCGCATCCAACGGTGAACGTCTCCGATATAAGCACAATTAATGTTGGGATAAAGTGAAGACGATGAGTGCGTTTAAATTCTCCGTATTCTCTCGCCGTTGCGACCGAGCGATGAAAACTTTTATCGCGCGATATCGCGATAAGGCATCGACCTCTTAACACCGCGCCATTGTCAAAAGAATTCTATGGACGGTGACGCGGTGTATATGTATACGCGCGTGCGCATACACAATACACACAATATACTCGCGTACACACACACACACACACACACACACATACACACACAGCATACGCATCAACGAGGGTATTAGACTTTTTGTCAAGACATTTCCCCTCGGACAATCGTGCAACCGCCCTCTTCCTCTTCCCTCTTCCCCCTTCTCCCCCTTTCTCTCACACGCTCTCTCTCTCTCTCTCTCTCTCTCTCTCTCTCTCTCTCTCTCTCTCTCTCTCTCTCTCTCTCTCTCTCTCTCTCTCTCTCTCCTCTCTCTTTCTCTCTCTCTCTCTCTCTCTCTCTGTCGTTCGCTATGGCGACCTACTTTTTACACTTTTTTATGCAAATGCGCACAATTGCCTGAGAGGCACGCGGAAGCAGAAGCGGAATAATCGTCGGAAGCGTTATACGTCAACCGAGACATATTTTTCCGATATTCCATCTTGATGTCTCGCGCCGAAGCAATACGCCGAGAAGAGAGAATCAAGAGAAAGACCAGGAAGAATACGATCAATGGAAGATGACACGAGCTTTTCCGGGGCACAAGGCGCTCCGAATTGATCGTGTTCACGCGCTTGATTCCGTCCATTCATCGGCCGAAACTCGCGCTGACGTGCGTAATTTTAAACACGCGCATGCGAATCCTCGCCAATGGCATATCCTAAGTGTCGGGAGGGGGAGGCGGGGGGGGCGCTCTCGATCAATATTTCGAGGATTCCGCGTTTCTAAAAGCGTTTTCGCGACACGACTCTGCTTTCAGAAGGGCAGTAATCCCGGGGTGTCGTCGAAATAGCTCGATGCGACGTTTAATCCCCTTCTCGTGTATGCGTGCCGTGTGCATGTGAGAGAGAGAGAGAGAGATAGATAGATAAATATATATATATATATATAGAGAGAGAGAGAGAGAGAGAGGGAGAGAGAGAGAGAGAGAGAGAGAGAGAGAGCGAGAGCGAGAGACAGGAAAGATTTCCGAGAGAAGATACGGTCCTCTCTCTCGCCGCGCGCCGCCGCGTTGATCCTTCAATTCTGTGTCACGGCTTTGATATCTGTTTTTCCTCTTCTCGCGAAAGCACCTCGCGTGAAAGTCGCGACACACACTTGACGTTCACTCGACGACGACAACGTAACGTCGAGGCAGCTTCCGCGGGACGGGGGTGAGTCGCGATCTCCCGATGAATACGTCAAATTGATGTACACTGAGAACGGCGAATTTGCCGGTTTGCTTTGAGCGTGTTTCTCGCCGCGATCTCCACGGGGATTTCCGGGCATTTTCGAAGCGCGCTCGAGGTGAGCTCTCGATAATGTTCCCGAACAACTTTCGGGATAATACCCGGCCGGCGTACCGCGCCGACGAAAACATGTACCTTCTCGTACCGATACTGTCGCTGCGAAACGTGCTTTATTGCGGCACGAAGCAAGTGTAGAATATTGACTATTGTCGCTGTAAGGTGAACTCCGCTCAAAGGTACGCGGAGCTCGTCGAAGCTTTCTCCGCGCGACGCCACGTCCTCCCTCGCGAATACCGCGAGTCCCTCCACGTCGCGTTAATTTGTATCCGTATTTGTATAATTATTTAACGACTCTCTTTGCCATCTCGATCGTGATGGCACGTCCGGGAACGTCACGCGCGCAACTGCGGCGCACCGCGACACACCCTTCGACAGGATCGTGGAGTACGCGGTAGTTAACATGCAATGTGTATCACGTGCTTGCTGTAATAAACGTGCGTCTTTCTTCGAAAAGGATTTTAATCACTGAAGCAATTTCATCATTCAAGCGACCGCGACGGGACAGCTGAATACGTCTGATTGAATAATCGACAACGTGATGTCTTTCCAGCCGCAGCTGGATGGCACACGCTTTGACGCAAAATCGTCGGGACTTTATCGTCTGAGAATAATGAAGCACGTGTGTACGCGAGTTTTCTCGCGAGGGAGAAGGTTCGCGACGAGAGGACGAGAATCGTATTATTAATATCTTTTACACCAATTGATGTTCTCCGCTATCAGGAGCGAATATATCGATAACCTCCTTTCTCTTTTTAAACCTTTTTTGAGGCGCGCGGGCACAAGCGCATATCTGAGGTAAAGAAGAGCGGAGTGGTTATTAATTCCCAAATCGCATTCTCAAATCGCGAGAACGCTCAAACGGGAATGCTCAAATGTAAAACGTAACTTCGCAGACGGGAACGAGCGGGATAATGAACAGGTGTTCACACAAATTGCGCACACCGGCCGGTAAAACGTGAAGTCGCTTCGAGCGATCCTCGCGGAGGAGCCGGCACAGAGGAAGATCCTGCGAAGCCTCGCCGTGCAAATCGTTCGGATTAATGATCGGCGATACGAACGAGAAGGAGAATCGCTCTCGGAGCGTCCTCGTCGTTACCTCCCCTGACGAGCCTGTAAATCCTGAATTCCTCGTCGGGACTTAGTCTCCGCTGTATCTCATCCCCCAACGAGCCGCGCGAGCGACGGAGAGGAGCAGCCTCGGCATTCGCGACGAGACAATTGACGTCGTCCGCGCGCGCGCTGTCCCTCGCGACGCGCGCGCGGCGCGGTGCGGCGTGTCGGTGCTTGGAGCACTTAGCGGGGTGCTTTTGTCTAATGGCACGGGAGCGTTTATTGGCCAATTGCATAGGTACACACGCACCCGGTAGCCGCTGCTCGTGTCGCGGTCGAGCGCTCCCCGATGTTTATCGAACGGGAGTATTCCGGGCGTGCTGATCGCGCTCGAATTTTCGCGCGCGCGCGCGCGCACGCACGCCTCGGGACGCTAAACAACGCGCGAGAATACGCCATTATAATTCCAATTAACCGCGCTCGCGATTGCTTCGTATAATTAGGACACGCGCGCCAGTGTCCTACTTTAAAAAGGGCACGTCGCTGTTTGTTTTCCTGCTGATGCTCATTGACTTCGCGCACCTGCACGTTTACACGCCCACGCGAGAATTAAACATTCGAAAGTAAAGTTGCATCAGATACAAATTTGTTCTCGTACGAGTCACGAATCTCACCATGTTATTTCACTCGAAGTCAAGCATCGAGTTCAAGCTCAAAGTGGATCCGAAAGTCGGCTTCTTCGCGAAGTAATCGTCTCTTTCGCCGACGGACTGTACATAAACGTCCGCGGAACGAGATAAATTCTTTCCGTCCTCTTCTCGTGGACCTCCTCGAAGGTCCTCCAACGGTCTTGCGTTTCTCCCTTCCTTCTCGTCACATACGACTCGCGATTGTGTTTTCGAAACACACCAAATTATCGCGCACGCTTCGCTCGATCGTTCAAGTCGTAAA